ACAAGATACGATTACAATATTACTTTACAACTTACAACTCCCAATGAAACTTAATTACAATCTTCCAATATTACAACATAAATACAAATGCTAAAATAAACTACATGGCATGACTACTAGACTTAGGACAAATGACATGAACAAGATGCTAATGAAGCTCCTACTAAATACAAATGAGATGTTCATGCCCTAAGTCTAGCCTAGGCCACATGGCCAACAAAATGCAAAAAGCTAAAGCTCCACTGAATCACTCTGCGGGCCTCTTGCCCGCTGCTCCAGCTCCACTGCTACCTCCTGAAATAAATGCCCCGAGACAGGGTGAGATATACGAATATATCTCAGTAACCCAGAGGTTCTGGAGAAAACTCCGCCCAATGGTTCACTTTGATGCATATGAATAGAATACAACAACCACTTTTGAAAACGGGATATAGCAAGGGTTTTAGAGAGATGGGGAATATAGAGATACAAACTATGACGATACGGGATGGTAGCTACCAATACCACGCACGCCCTGGGCATATATAAGCCTATGGGTATCATCCAAGGTGCGTTCCAAAAACCACAACCATGATGCCCCAACCATCCAAAACGCCAGAGACAATTCCTAGTGTGCTCCTACCCGGATCACACACCATGACCCTAGGTCAACTGGAACTCCCTCTCGGAGACCTATCCAGTGGAAGTCCGAAATTGCCCGAAGGCTAAGAAAAACTGTCTACTGGCCAGAGACTCGGTACATAAGTACCCACTGTAATAATGCTTGCATGCTCATGTGTTCTACACTACTCATATACACTTCCTACCATTTCCATCAACTGGCAAGGTGGAACAGAAAAGGGGAACAAGCCCCAGTACCAAGAGGTTACCTTAAATATTTTTCTCACAAGCTCCGCAACAGCTTATCCCTCAACTTGGTACACAGCAGAATGCCTACACAGAGGACATTCCCAATCACTCATAGTTCAAACAATACATGCTAATTTAATATTATACATGCATTGAACCAATTACTTACCTTAATCCACTTGGTTCAAGACCAAGGGCAACTCCCTGATTCAAGGTTCGGGATTCAAGTCAACGTACGGCAACCTATACAATCACGTACAGCCATCAGTACACGTCAAATAGCATCAAAACGCAAAAATCACGAAATCACCTCACCCACACTTGGTGGGTTCGGCCATCCTAGGCTTATTTTCAATTTTATTTTTCTAAATTTTCTTTCTCATTTTATTACGCCTCAATAGGTTGCCAAGAGGCCAGTTCAAGTGCCGTTTCGCCATTTTCGCGTCGAATTACATCAGAACCCGAAAACCGCAAAATTCCTCCCCACCCCCTTGGTGGTTCGGCCCTACATGTGTTAATTGGAGATTTATTTTTCTAAATTTTCTTTCTCATTTTAGTACCCATCCTTGGGTTGCCATAAGGCCATTTCAAGTGTCGTTTCTTCGTTTTACGTCTTTTAAGCATCGTTTCGCTAAATAGTTCGTTCTAGGTTCATTTAGGTCTCTAAACACAATTCATTTTTTTCCATTGATTCAAACACTTTCCAACCACAACACAACCTATCTAAGTACCATATAACTACACCAATCATCATCCAAATCATTTTTCAACATCAATTCCTCAATCTTTCCCACAATGGCCGAATTATACCCTAGGGAATCCCAAAGGATTTCTTTCCATTTTCAACCATTTCACAACTCAACCAATCACATTATATCATCATTCTATCATACAACAACTCATTATCAACATCACAACACATTTTTCCAAGATTCCATGTCATGACCATCAAAATTATTCTAAGTTAAAATCATCAATTTTCACCTAAAATTTTCATTGCATTTATCAATAATACACATTATTCTAAGACATTTTCATATACAAACTTTTCCCAATTGAGCTCTCTAACATCACACATCATACAATGCAAGCTTTAGGGTTCTATAATACAATCTCATGAATCAACCAACCAATAGGTGTAAAAACTTACTCAAAAGCTAGGCAATGGGCTCCTCCTAGACATACTCTATCATTAGAGCATTTGAAAGCTCCATGAACATCAAATTTCCAATGTGAGCCGCGACCTTTGAGGGGGAAGATCTCAAAATCTAGTCACTTTCATGGTTCAAGGATAGCACCAATGGCTTTGGAAGGCAATTTCCAACAAAATTCAAGTCAAACTTTGTTGGATTTGGTGTTTGGATGAGTGATTAATGGAGAGAAGAAAATTTTTCATGGAGAACGGGGGAGGGGGCTGATGCTCGGGTTTTAGGAAGAGGAGGGAGTGAGGAGATGATGAATAGTGGAGAGGATGAGGTGGCTTAAGTGACATGTGAGTGGGTGGGTCCCACGCGATTTAAAACTCCTCCGAATTTTCCTCCGATTTCCACTAAACGTCCGTAAATTCAAAACCTATTTGGAAACTCTAATTTTTAACATTAACTATTCTCCTTTAATTATACTTGATCAGATGAATTCAGAGTCCTCCATTCGTTCGGAGAAAACACTGTTTTAAGCAAATGCGCGCGCCGTTGGCACGCTTCCCCAAAATGACTTACTTTCATCGGATTTTATCAACAATCATATTTCCTAACTTAATAGACCATTTATAACTCATATTTGAAACCTAGAGCTCAAAATTCAACTGGCACGTTTTACGGTGCACTCGTACCGCGGTATTTTTACTCGCGAAAAACACTATTCACTGATTTTTCTGAAACTTGCCTAACCACTCAATTTTTCGTTCTGAACCCATTTCTAGGGTTGTTTTTACCATCTGAGACCTTCTACTCAATTTTTATCTTCCTAGGGTTGCGTGTTGGCTAATTACCGTTTTGTCCTTTCTTTGTATTTTGGCCTAATCTTTAGGATTTTCACTGAATCTCCACTTAATTACACACTTAATGGTTTAAACACTTAATTTAAAATTGTGAGGTGTTATACAAGCCAGAGCTTCATTAAAGGGAATGTTGATATGCAATTTCTTGAATATATCCAGAAATCTTTCATAATGCTGTTTTTGAGCATCTTTCTTAAACCTTTTTGGATAAGGTGCCATTACCCTCACATATTCTGGTTTCAGTTCAAACTTCTCCTTTGCTACTGGATTTTCCACTTCAGCAGGTTTTTCAATTTCTTTGTCTGGCTCACCTGCAGTATCCAACTTCTTTTCAGCTTCTACATTTATTCTCGGCTTTTCGGGAGCTGCTACCACTTTACCACTTCTAGTGGTGACAAACATACAATCCTCCTTTGGATTAGTGACTGTGTTACTAGGGAAATTACCTGGAGTTCTATCAGCAACTTGCTTGGCCAGCTGGCCAATTTGATTCTCCAGGTTTCTGATCGAAGCACTCATGTTTCTGGTATTAGCCTTAGTCTCTTCCATGAAAGCATTTGTGTTTTTGGTATTGGCTCTAGTCTCCTCCATAAAAGCATTGGAGTGTTGAGCCATTTTTCCAACTAACCTCTCCAAATCAGAAAGTTCCTTCTGTGGAATAGGAGGAGGTTGCAGAAAGTTGTTTGAACTATAATCAAAACCACCTCCTTGACCTCTCCTCTGAAATGATTTCTTTAAAAATTTTGTTGGGGCTTCTGCTCATACCAAACCCCATTCACTTGCAACTGCTGTGGATTATCACCCATTAGAGTGGGACACTCATTAGACTCATGAGCTTCCTTACAATATTCACACATCACAGAAGTTGATTGAACCTTGGACACTTGCATTTTCTCAAACTTCTCATTCAAGCTGTCAAACGTTTTGGACAACAACTTTTGTTCAGCAAGCATAGCATCATTGGTTTCCAACTTTATTACTCCTTTTCTTGCCTGAACTGGGAAGCTCTCATTCTCATTTTTTGCAAGTTTCTTGATCAAGTCAATGGCTTGCTCAGATGTACTCTGCCGAATAGAACCCCCAGTTGCACTATTAATCACCAATCTTGTGTCAGGAGAGATGCCATTAAAGAAAATTGCTACCTTTCTATCATCATCTCCCTCATAGTGCGGACATTTCCGGATAAGTTCCTAGAATCTCTTCCAGGTTGCACACAGCGATTCTCCTTCAAGCTGACGGAAGTTTGCGATCTCATTCACCAGCTGGTTGTACTTCTCCATAGAAAAGAACTCGGCAAAGAACTTTGTGGACAAGTCCTCCCATGTCATGATACTATTAGCTGGCTGCCTTTCTATCCATCTGAGAGCTTTTCCCTTAAAAGCAAAAGGGAATAATCGAAGCCTGATAGCATCGGCAGACACTCCATTGTGCTTGATTCTGAAATTACAAATGATAAAACTTGATGCTCTCCGGCAAGTATACCGATCACACAAGTAATATAGAAAGTAAGTAGAGTATAGTCTCCACAGAGATTGTAAACCAAGTACTAGAATAACCAGTCCCCTTAAGTTGGAAAACTCAGTTTGTTGTTTGGAAAAATTGCAAACTAATTTTGAGTAACAATAAGAAATAAAAGTAAATACTTGTTTTTGAATTTTTATTTAAGAGAAATAAAACAATAACAATGATAATTGATTTTTAAAAATATGATAAAAACATTGTAGCTAGAGCGCACTCACCTTATGATCCCCACTTCTTACTTTGGATTGATTCACAATACTTATTCATATAATTACTCGGATAAATTATTATCTAAGAATATTTATTAGTTAACCCTTAATTCCTTGCAAGGTTAACCCTTTAATCCCCAATTGGAACCCCAATTCCTTGCAATGTTCCTCATGGTATTAAGCAATGAACGCAATAATTTAAGCATCCGCAATTAAATACACATCTATTCATAGCATGCATACCAATTGTTATCCTACCCCCTTTCAAGATCAAAACCCCAATATTCCTATCTAGGGTTCTAACCCTCAAACTATTCTCAACTATCAGATTGATCAGTTCTAATAAAGAAAATACAAAATACGCACAAGGTAGAGACAAAGATAATTATATAAATGAGTAAAACTAAATCAATCCATCGTAACAAGGGTTCACATAGGGCTCGTGACCCTAACTACAATAAAAGAAACTAGCCAAGCATAATCATGGCTAAAAATAATCCAATATTCAAAAGCATAAAATTAAAGAGAAAAGAGAAGAAGAACTTGATCTAAGGAATCCTCTCAGAGCTCTGCCGTCGTCTCCCTTCATAAGAATAGGTCTGGATACCTAATTCTGTCATAAGGATCCTATTTATAAATCTATTTTTCTTCTTCCAAAAATACCCCTGAGACAACACGGTAAAATTTCCTCGCAACCCGACGCCAGTTAGCACCGGTACGGCGCCACTTCGCGCGGAGTTACTGTCCAATTGTGAAAAGTCGGACCTGATGGCACGTACACTGGCGCCAGTTGGCGCCATCCTCCTTCCTTTTGGGCGCCTAGTGGCGCCATTCTCCTTTGCTTTGGGCGCCTTGTGGCGCTATTCTTTCTTCTTGTTGGGCGCCTGGTGGCGCCATGATCCTGGTCATGAATGTGGTGCCATTTGGCGCCATTTTGGTGCCACTGAGCGCCACTCAAAATTCTCCGTTGCAAAGTTTGCAATCCGGCGCGGGTCTGCGTCATTCGGGCGCTAGTTAGCGCCAATTCTCTGGCATTTGTACTATGCAACATGATGCCACATGGAACTTTTCTCTGTGTGGAGTCGCGTCAACAGGCTTTTTATCATCTATAATTTTCTCGCCTTTTACCTGTAAAAACACAATTAATAGGTGAGAAATATTATTGAAAAGAAAGAATCAATATAATTAGCAAATATGTATTTAAGTTGCTCTTTTATGACTCAATTCTTATCAATTTTAACACAGAAAATCACACTTGCCAGAGGCACATCACTAATCTGACTTCATGGGTATTGGATACCGGTTGTTGTTCTCATATCTGCAATGTGTTGTAGGTGCTTGGGAGCCCTAGAAGATTGGAGAAGAGCGAGGTGGACCTCCGCGTTGGTAATGGAGCAAGAGTTGCTGCTTATGCTATTGGAGATACCGACCTCATTTTGCCTTCGGGCCTTGTATTGCATTTGAATAATTATCTTTATGTTCCTAGCATTTCTAGAAACATTATTTCTATTTATTGTTTAGAACAAGATGATTTTGCTTTCATTATTAGGGATGGTACATTTTCCATCATTTCGAATGATATTGTTTTTTGTACTGCTTCTTTAATAAATGGCTTATATGTTTTGGAAATGGGAACTGAAGTGCTCAATGTAGATGTGAAACGACCTAGGACAGATAATCAATCTTATCTTTGGCAATGTAGACTAGGGCACATTAACGAAACAAGATTGTTTAGGATGCATGCAAATGGATACCTAGATTCTATGGATTTAGAATCCTATGGACAATATGAATCTTGTCTAGCTGGGAAAATTACTCGTCACAAGCCCAAAGGGCTTGAGAGTCATAGGGCTAGTGAGTTATTAGAACTCATTCACTCTGATGTTTGTGGCCCAATGTCTATAGAGGCTAGAGGAGGATATTCATATTTCATTACCTTTACTGATGATAAATCGAGATTTGGGTACGTGTACCTAATGAGATATAAATCTAAAGCTTTTGAAAAATTCAAAGAGTTTAGGAATGAAGTAAAGAAACAGCGTGGCAAGATGATTAAGACATTGCGATCAGATCGTGGTGGTGAATTTCTGAGCCATGAGGTTCAGGATTATCTGAAGGAAAATGGAATTCTCTCGCAGTTTACTGCACCTTACACACCACACCAAAATGGTGTCTCCGAAAGGAGAAACAGGACCTTGTTAGACATGGTCAGGTCTGTGATGAGTAAGACTCGACTTCCAAAATCATTTTGGGGATATGCCTTAGACACGGCGGCAAACCTTCTAAATAGGGTACCGTCTAAATCTGTTCAGACCACACCATATGAGATATGGAATGGTAAGAGACCCAACCTGAGTTACCTCAGGGTATGGGGATCGCCAGCATAGGTCAAAGCATTGGCATCAGACAAGCTTAGTGCTAAGGGTACTAAATGTCTATTTGTGGGGTATCCCAAAGGTACTAAGGGATACTACTTTTACTCTATGGATGAACACAAGGTGTTTGTGTCCAAGAAAGCTGAGTTCTTTGAGAAGGATTTGATCTCTCAAGGAGCCAGTGGGAGTAAGATTGATCTTGAAGAAGTTCAAAGACCACAAGAACATATTGAGGAACCCGAGTCTGCTCCGCAGGCGACGTTCTCCAATGGAGAAGTAAACACACAACTCCGTAGGTCTACTAGGGTCATCCATCCACCTGAGAGGTATGGGTTTGTGATTGAGAATCAACAAACCGTCGAGGATGATGAACCTAGTAACTATGAGGGGGCGGTCAAGGATGTTGACTCCTCTAAATGGCTTGAAGCCATGGAATCTGAAATAGATTCGATGTATCAAAACAAGGTATGGACCTTGGTTCCTAAACCGCAAGGAATAATTCCTATCGGTAATAAATGGGTCTTTAAAAGAAAGACTGATGCAAATGGCAACGTTCAAACCTACAAAGCTAGGTTGGTTGCGAAAGGATATCGTCAAAGACAAGGAGTTGACTATGATGAGACTTTCTCACGAGTTGCCACGATCAAATCTATTAGGATCATGCTTGCAATAGCAACATATCACGACTATGAAATTTGACAAATGGATGTCAAGACCACCTTCTTGAATGGATTCTTGAAGGAGGAAGTGCACATGACACAACTTGAAGGTTTTGAAGCCAAAGGTCAACAACGTACGGTATGCAAGCTTTGAAGGTCGATATATAGGCTAGAGCAAGCATCAAGGAGTTGGAATATTCAGTTTGATGAAGTCGTTAGGAGTAACGGTCTCATCAAGAACGAGGATGAACCTTGTGTTTACAAGAAGGTTAGTGGGTGTAATGTTGTCTTCCTGGTACTTTATATAGATGACATATTGCTAATAGGAAATGACATCCCCGCATTACAAACAACGAAAGACTGGCTTTCAGAAAGCTTCACCATGAAGGATTTGGGAGAAGCGTCCTTTATACTTGGTATAAAGATCTATAGAGATAGATCCAAAAGGCTGCTGGGTTTATCTCAATCCACGTATGTTGACAAGATGCTAAAGAGGTTTAGCATGGAAGGGTCGAAAAGGGGTTTTCTTCCCTTCAGTCATGGGGTACACCTTTCAAAGGCTATGTGTCCTAAGTCACAGCCTGAGAAGGATCTCATGAGTGGAATTCCATACGCTTCGGCTATTGGATCCATCATGTATGCCATGATATGTACGAGACCAGATGTCTCATATGCTTTGAGCATTACGAGCAGATACCAGTCTGACCCTGGAGAGGGTCACTGGACAGCAGTCAAGACCATCCTTAAGTACTTGAGAAGAACTAAGGATGCGTTTTTGGTCTATGGTGGGGTTGATGAGCTTTCAGTGAAAGGGTTCACTAATGCCAGCTTTCAGAGTGACAAAGATGACTGCAAGTCACAGTCAGGGTTCGTATTCACCTTAAATGGTTGGTCAGTATCTTGGAAGAGTTCCAAGCAGGAGACAACAGCAGATTCAATGACAGAAGCTGAATACATAGCTGCTTCAGAAGCGGCTAAGGAGGCCGTGTGGATCAAGAAGTTCATATCTGAACTAAGGGTGGTTCCAAGCGTGGATGAGCCCATACAGTTGCTTTGCGACAACATAGGAGCTATTGCGCAGTCAAAGGAACCTAGGTCTCATCAAAGATCTAAGCACGTGCTCCGCAGATATCACCTGATTAGAGAAATCATTGATAGATTGGATGTAAAGATGGATTATGTTCCAACAGATGATAACCTAGCCGATTCTCTGACGAAGGCTGTTTCTCAGAGAAAACATGATAGTCATTATGAGGCTTTCGGTATACGGCTTAGGTCAGATTGGCTCTAGGCCAAGTGGGAGCTTGTTAGTATATGGATGTCCTAGAGACAATCTTTTGATTAGATTAGGACATATGTGGACCTTTTTATATTGTCGCAAATAAATAATAAGCACTCTTTATCCTGTTTCATATTTTGTCTTAATATTATTGTTAATATATTATATGAGTAACTGGACAAACCCCTTGGAATAAAATAGGTATCTCTTGAGTATCTGTGATAAGATCACGATCATGAGGATTTAAGGATACCAGATGTTTATTCCTAATTTTATGTTCATACTCTAGAGACACTGAGAATGGGGATCAGTAATCTCGGGTAAGACTAGCACAGCTTATCTACTTGTATTCGGATACAAGGTAAAGACCTCATGAGCTACAGATATGGAGATGTCTTAGCTAAAGTCGTGGGTGGACCTATAAGGGTATAGCTCGCACTGAACGGACCCACAAAGAGACTCTATGAGGAAATCTTACAAAAGTATCATTAGAGCAGTCTCTTAATATTTGGGTATGTCTTTCCTTAGACCATAAGTTGTCCCGTAGACGGTGTTCTAGAAGGCATGTTTTGACTGTATATCTTGTCTCCCTGAAACATGGAGACTCATAGGTATACTTTTGGGCATGTCCTGAAAGAGCACAGACCTACGGTGATAAGCTGAAGGAATTTGTCAAATCTCTGTAAGGGATTAGGTTATCTGTAAACCGGAGAAATCGAGATGAAATTTATAGGACTCGGGAATCTATGCATAGTAAAAGAGATCATGGGATGATCTGCCTTTAGAGTCAGTAAATTGAAGATTCCCTATTTCGAAATAAAGCTTACCCTAAACCGCAAGGGTTGATACATTTTCTCACCCTAGGTTTAAAGGGAAGGTAACCGAGACGAAAGGAAATACATACGGTAACCAAATATATGTAATAGGATGATCATGTCATTAACCTAACTAGCTCTGGGGCAACAAAGCATTGCTAGTGCTCTGTGTTGTCATTAAATGGGTTGTGGGCTTGTTGGGCCCAAGCCCATTTATGTTAGTGGCTATGTTGGGCCTAATGGGTCACACACTAACACCTTATTGTCTTGATGATATAGAATTAAAGGTATTGGGCCTAATAAAGGTTGTTAGCCCAAGAAGAAGTTTGGAAGCCCACCTAAGAGGGAAAGGGCGCATGGTAATTGTAATGGGCTTGGATGGTCCAAGACATTATTAATTAATTTAATTAGTTAAATTAAATATCAAATATTTAAATTTTGAATTTAAATGTTTGAATGTTTCGATTTAAATGTTTGAATTCGAATTTGAATTGGCTATGAAAAGTTGTTTCATAACAAAAGGATAAGATAAGATCTTGTTGGAACAAATCTCTAGTATCAAGAGATCTTTGAGCATCATCCAAGGTTGTTTGGGACGCTAATTTGGGTTTTTATGAGTGTCATTTAGTTAACCAAATAAGCTCCAAATCAGATTTGGTTGGTTGAGAGAATAAGTGAGTGAGTTGGTTCAAATTTGAATGCAACTACTCAATGTATTTGGACTGCATTGTGGACCAAAGGGGCGCACCATATGGCGGGCCATTTGATGGTCATTGGGTCAGAATTTTGACTAGGTTTAGACGTAGTCTCATGAGGATTCAAAGGTAGGTTGTTGGGAAAATTTGAATTGCAACAACTCCATCTTTTTCTCCCTTGGTGTGCGCCACTTTGATCATATTTTTAAGTGAAAAATCTGACTTAAATTCTTAGACTCTATCATCTCCTTTGGTCATCCTTTTGTTAGGTTTTTCTTAAGAGAGTTTTGAAGAATATCCTAGCCACTTCTCATCAAATCCATGAGCCACATTTGTGAAGTTTTAAGCTGAAAATTTTGCTCATCTAAACACATTAACCATGCCTCCTCCTTCATCTATTGAACGCCTAGCCAGCCTTCTTTGTGGTGTTTAATTGGTGGCTTTTCAAGAAGGGTTCTTGCATCTCGACGTAGGGTGGTGTGGATCAACATTAGAGGGTTTGAACCCTTTCAAACCTTACATTGATCACCTTGGAGTTTTAATCACGAACAAGGTATATCATTGCGTCCTAAAGTACGCATCTTTATTGACATGTGTGTTTCCGCTGTTGAAAATTTTTGTTTTCATCGTCACATGCCTACGGCCTTCAAGGCCATTTTCTTTCAACTGCAGTGATTGTAACTGTGTTTAATATAATAATCAATAACAATACCAGTGTACAACGAGCTAGAATTCATATATATATATATATATATATATATATATATATATGTCACCTTTACTAATATATCACCTTTTCCCAGCTATCACATTTTCATATCAATGTACTATAATTACACATATTCCATTAATCTTATATCAGATTAGTTACAGCACATCATTTCAACTGCTCATACCAATACCAATATAGTATTTTAAAATACTTACATTACAACATTTAAGCATAACACATCATTTATTTAAACAAATCGAGTACACTAATTTAAACACATAATCAAATCCAACATAAAACACATTAACATAAATGTCAGATCGAACAAAATACAATTAATAACACCACCACAAATCACCATACATTTAATAACTACAAGTCATGTACAATTATATCTATTCAAACCACCAAATCATAACATAAATAATTACAGCATGTTAAATCATACAATTTATAGTATATCAATTTATATACATATTGACCCAATATGAATGCAATTATGCTAAGTTCTAACATTCATAACAGATATTTCCATCAGAAATTATAATTTCTCTGATTATAGCGGAACATCATATAGGTGAAAAATCCTAAACCAAGAACTTACTTGCTTAGCTTTTCCTGCTATTTTATTGCAGCCCAAGTTACTTGTACTCTTTGCGTCCAATTACTTGTATATACTCTGGTATAATTTATAAAATACCATCAATCATCAATTAGCATATATTGCTTGTCACCCAACCAATCAACATATCACATGTTAATTTAATTACCAACTTGGTAACTTTCTTAATCACCTTGATAATTCTCTTTTCACTTAACAATTTCATTTTGTAATAGCCCATTGTACACCGATATTTTTAACATTAATTATGATATTAAGCGCAGTTACAATCATAGCAATTCATTTATAAAAATGCGAGTAAACTTTTTCTGTTATTACGCGAGAATTTAAAATAATAAAAAGCGTAATAATTAAAAGCTGTGACCGTAACGATAAAATCTTTGCGGAATACTTATTTAGACTACTTTTATAACTTATTTTAGTTACTACAAGTCACTAAGGGGTTCCCATAAACCCACTTAGCATATTTCTCACTTTTACGTTTTCTACCTATCCGAACATGATTCGGTCATTAATTTTTTGCAGATAAACCGAATTCTACAAGCCTCTCCTCTTTTTATATGTTATTCTACACTCAATTACCTTTCTAGGAAGCTATCACACGAGTTATTTAGAGCTCGTTTGCTCCAGATATCGCCGTTTGAAGTTGGACAAGCAAAACTGCCAACCAACTCCAAAACAGCTCCAAACATCCTTCACTCCACGAATTACTGCAGAAAATAAACTCAACCAATTTATCTAAAATATTTATATAACAAACTAGACACCTCAAGCTTCAATTTGATATATCATAAACCTAATTTGAAAAAGTAACGAAGTGGGAATAAATTTCCCAAAACCGGTCCAGAACTGCCACATGTGCAGTGAGCAAATGGACAGTCTGCACTCTCTTCCTTCTACAAGCCGGCGTCCAACCCAGAATTTTACCAAATTGTACCAAAAGATAGAGGACATATCAAGCTTCAAAATGGCGTATTGCACGTCCCTATCGGATCTTTGTTGAGGGAGATATGCTCTCCCGAAGTTCGCCTAAATTATGCCAATTTCTAAAAATTTCGCCAGAGTTTCCTTTGTTTTTACAAAAATCTCCAAGTTTGCTAATGTATTCTAGGACCTCAAATGTACCTAATAATCATTGGGTGGCACACACAAGGACCAACAATGCCTTGGGGCACTTACAACCCATCACAGTTTATTTTACTTATATAATACGTATCACATTGTTTACTTATTAATACTCAATATGTTTCAATCGTGAAAGTCCATTTGCATGCATTTACTAATCATACACATAATTACAATCCTAAAATAGGCCTACTGCCCTTTCATCATATTACATATGCTTCAATTGCACAAGATCCAAATTACAATACTTACAATTATCCAAATTACAACAAAATTCATAAATCTCCAAATGTCATAAACTACATGTACCTAGACTTAGGCAAGAATGGCATGAACAAATATGACATAAAACTCATCCTAACAACATATACAATGTTCATGCCCTAAGTCTAGCCTAGGCCCAATGGCCATCAAAATACAAAATATATAAAGTCCTCCAATGATTCATCCTACGGGCTTCTTGCCCGCCGCTCCCGTACCACTGCTACCTCCTGAAATAAAGCCCCCAAGACGGGGTGAGGTATACGAATATATATCAGTAACCAGAGGTTCCGGAGAAAACTCCTCCCAATGGCTCACTTCGATGCATATAAATAACAAAAAACAATATCTTGAAAAACGGGATATAGCAAGGGATTTAGAGAAATTAGGGAATATAGGGATACAAAATACGACGAGGCTGGAATGGTAGCTACCAATACCACGCAACGTCCTGCCTAATGGCTCGGCATATAAGCCTACGGGTCTAACCAAGGCGCGTTCATAGAATATCCAACCAAGGAACCCCTCCCATCCATATACACCTGAGACTTCCTAGTGTGCTCATATCCGGATCACACACCACAACCCTAGGTCAACTGGAACTCCCTCTCGGAGACCTATCCAGTGGAAGTCCGCAACGCCCGAAGGAAAACTGTCTACTGGCCAGAGACTCGAAACATCCAGTTTACCACTAACATACATAATAAATGCATGATCATGTTATTCTACATTACTTACATATACTTCCTACCATCACCCTCAACGGGCATGGTGGAACACACAAGGGGATCAAGCCCCAGTACCAAGAGGTTACCTTAATAAGCCTCTCCACTTAGCTCCAAAGCAGTATATTCTCCGAGCTCGTTACTCAACAGAAATGCCTACACAGAGGATATAACACCTCACAACTTTAAATCAAGTAATTAAAATATTAAGTGAGCAATCAAGTGATGGATTAGTGAAAATCCAAAAGATTAGGCCAAAATACAAAGAAAGGGCAAAACGGTAATTAGCCAACACGCAACCCTAGGAAGATAAAAATTGAGTAGAAGGTCTCAGATGGTAAAAATAACCCTGGAAATGGGTTCAGAACGAAAAATTGAGTGGACAGGCAAGTTTCAGAAAAATCAGTGAATAGTGTTTTTCGCGGGTAAAAATACCGCGGTACGATTGCACCGTAAAACGTGCCGATTGAGTTTTGAGCTCTAGGTTTCAAATATGAGTTAAAAATGGTCTAATGAGTTAGGAAATATGATTTCTTATAATATTCGATGAAATTAAGACAGTTTGGGGAAGCGTGCCAATGGCACGCATAATAGCTTAAAACAGTGTTTTCTCCGAACGAATGGAGGACTCTTAATTCATCTGATCAAGACTAATTAAAGGGGAATAGTTAATGTTAAAAATTTGAGTTTCTAAATAGGTTGTGAATTTACGGACGTTTAGTGGAATCGGAGGAAAATTCGGATTAGTTTTAAATCGCGTGAGGTGGCGGTGGGACCCACCCCACTTAAGTGACTTAAGCCACATGTGCTTGGCACTATTCATGCATCACTTTCCTCCCTCTTCTTGCTCAAACCCGCAGCCACCATAGCCCTTCACCTCCAAGATTTCATTTCACCATAACTTAGCCATTTCTTCACCAAATCCATTGATTCTTGTCTTGAAATTTGATGGAAATGGCCTTCTAAATCCATTGGTGGTACTCCCAAGCCTTGAAAGCCACTAGATTTTGAGAAAAACCCTCCCCAAAGCTGCGGCCCTTTCCTTTAGATTTGTGAAAATGGTGTTGATTGATGCTCCAATGGTGGAGTATGTTTAGGAGGAGCCTTGTGCCAAGCTTTTGGGTGAGTTTCCTTGTGTTCCAATGGTTTAATTTTGTGGTTGAATTTATGAACCCTAAAGAGGGCTTGTTGGATTGATGTGTTTAGAGAGCTCAATTGGAAAATGTTTGTACATGAATGTGTCTTAGAATGATGTGTAGTAGCCATAAATGCAATAAAAATTATTGATGAAAAATGTAAATTTTTAACTTAGAAAATTTTGAGGTTGTCATGACTTTGAGTTTTGAAAATGTGTTAGGATTGGATTGATGAGTTGTTGTATGATTGTATGTTGATATAATAGGATTGTATGAGGTGTGGAATGATTAAAGTTGTATGGAAATTCCTTGGAATGCCATAGGGTAAAATTCGATTCTTTGAGGAAAGATTGAGGAATTGATGTTGAAAAATGATTTGGATGATGATTTGTGTAGTTATATGGTGCTTAGATGGGTTGTGTTGTGCTTGGAGAGTGTTTGAATCAATGGAAAAAAATGAATTGTGTTAGAGACCTAAATGAGCCCAGAATGAAATATTTCGCAAAACGATGCGTAAATGTCGGAAAACGGAAAAACGACGATTGAACTAGCCTCTAAACAACCTAAGGGAGTGTTATAAAATGAGAAAGAAAATTTAGAAAAATAAATCTCACATTTACACTACAATGGCCGAACCATCAAGGGAGGATGGGGAGGATTTTTGTGTTTTTGCGTTTTGATACTATTTGACGAGTACTGATGGATGTACGTTATTGTATAGGTTGCCGTACGTCGACCTGAATCCCGAATCTTGAATCAGTGAATTGCCCTTGGTCCGGGACCAAGTGGATTGAGGTAAGAAATTGGTTCATTGCATGTGTAATTATAAATTAACATGTATGGGTTGAACTGAGAGTGATTGGGAATGTCCTCTGTGTAGGCATTCCGCTGTGTACCGAGTTGAGGGATAAGCTGCTGCGGAGCTTGTGGAAACACGATTTAAGGTAACCTCTTGGTACTGGGGCTTGTTCCCCTTTTCTGTTCCACCTTGCCAGTTGATGGCAACGGTAGGAAGTGTGTATGAATAGTATAGAACACATGAGCATGCATGCATTATTGCTATGGGTACTGCAGTACCGAGTCTCTGGCCAGTAGACAGTTTTATTAGCCTTCGGGCATTTTCGGACTTCCGCTGGATAGGTCTCCAGGAGGGAGTTCCAGTTGACTGCGGTCATGGTGTGTGATCCGGGTAGGAGCACACTAGGAATGTCTTTGGCGTTTTGGTTGGTTTGGGCATCATGGTTGTGGTTTCTGTGAACACACCTTGGATGATACCCATAGGCTTATATATGCCGAGGGCGTACGTGGAATTGGGGTTACCATCCCGTATCGTCGTATTTTGTTTTCTTTATATTCCCCATTCTCTAAACCCCTTGCTATATCCCGTTTTCAAAGTGGTTGTTGTATTCTATTGATATTCATCGAAGTGAACCATTGGGTGGAGTTTTCTCCAGAACCTCTTGGTTACTGAGATATATTCGTATATCTCACCCCGTCTCGGGGCATTTATTTCAGGAGGTAGCAGTGGAGCAGGAGCCTCAGGCAAGAGGCCCGCAGAGTGAGCGATGGAGCGTTTCTTATTTTGCATTTTGTTGGCCGTGTGGCCTAGGCTAGACTTAGGGCATGAACATGTCATTTGTATTTATTAGTAGCTTCATTAGCATCTTGTTCATGCCATTTTGCCTAAGTCTAGTAGTGATGTATTTGGTTATGTTGTCTTTTAAATTAAGTTGAAATTTTAGAAGAATGTAATTTGAAGTTTTAGTTTCAAGTTGTAATTTGTAAAGCCATATTGTAATAGTATTGATGC